CTGGGACTTGAACTGCGCTAGACCATGTGGGAATCCAACGCCCTTAACCACCACACCACCTGCCAGCCCTGTCATTTTTTTTTTCTCAATTTGACAGAGGGCATATGCACTCCCTCTCTAGAGGGAGAAACAGCAAGAGAGAGGGAAAGTGAGAAAGGACCCCATGGAGGATGGTCACACCAGGATCCTTTCTCTGTCTCTCCCTCCTTTGTGGATTTTGGGTATGCACATGTGCCTGTGGGAGTCCAACATCTTAACCACCATGCCTGCAATGGCATTTAAAAAATATATTTATTATCATAATTGGGTTTGGAGAGGTTTTTTTTTTTTTGCTATAGGGTGCATGCACTCACCAGAAACACAAAGAGAAAAAGAGAGACAGAAAGCAAGAAATCTCCCCCCAGGGGGGATGGCCATGCCACAATCCCTTTTCCTCCTTTCTCCTCTCAGGATCTTGGGCACGCCCCCACACGTGCCTGGCATGAGTTTAAGCCACCGGGTCCGGAACTTGAACCGCAGTCGACTACATGGGAGTCCAGCGACATAACCATTACGCTAACTGCTGACCCTTGCTATAGCATTCTTTACAGTCAAGGCTTATATTCAACCTCAGTTATGCTTTGAGTCACCTTTCCGATGTGGAAAGAATGAATGAAGGGCCAGTCAGTGGTGTGGTGGTTAAGATCTACATGGCTGAGTGCAGAGTTTGAGTCTCAGACCTGGTGACACAGAAAACATGCCGGGCACATGTGAGTGCATGTCCAAACTCCTGAAAGGAGAATGGAGGACAAGGGGTTATGATGTGGTTGTCCCTGGGCAGGTGCGATTTCTCATACTCCTGCTCCCGGCTTTCCCTGGTGAGTGCACGTGCCCTAGAGCAAATTAAATAATAAGAAGAATTCAAGTTGGTTGGTGGCATGGAGGTGAAGGTGCTAGAATCACACGTGGCCAACCGCAGTTCGAGTCCCAGACCTGGTGGCTTGATTTCTCACTTTCTCTTTCTCTCTCTGATCAAATTAAAAATAATAATAAATTTTAAAACTAAAATAAATCTTAAAAATATAAAATTAGGAACCAGTAGTTGGTGTAATGGCTATGTCACTGGACTCCCACATAGTCAACCACAGTTCGAGTCCCAGACCCTGTGGCTTAAACTCATGCTGGGCATGTGTGTGTGCGTGTGCCCAAGATCCTAGAGGAGAATAGAGGAGAAGGGATTGCAGTGTGGCCATCCCCCGGGGGGTGATTTCTCGCTTTCAGTCTCTCTGTCTCTCTCTGTCTTTCTGGAAAGTGGAAAGGGCACACATCCTATAGCAAAAACCTCTAAAAAATTAAATAATTATTTAAAAAGTGTTATTCATTATTATTTTTAAAAAATTTGATATAGGGCATGCACACTCACCAGAGAGAGCCAGAAAGAAAGATGGAAAGTAAGAAAGCAAGCTGCCAGGTCCAGGACCCAAACCAGGATCAGCCATGTGGGAGTCCAGATCCTTAGCCACCACACCACCTGCTGGCCCAAAATTAAATAATTCTTTTTTGAAGAGAGATTTTTACTATAGAGCATGTGTACGCGCAAAAAAACCAGAGAGACAGAAAGCAAGAAATCACCTGTGGGAGGCTGTGCACCAGCGAATATCCCCGGTTTCTCAGAGAGCAAACGATTACACAATGCCAAAGGCCATGATTGGCTCCCCTTCAAAACCTCACCTTCGGGAACCAGCAGTTAGCGTAATGGCTATGTCACTGGACTCCCACATAGTTGACCGCGGTTTGCGTCCTGGACTCGGTGGCTTAAAACTCACGCTGGGCACGTGTGTGCGTGCCCAAGATCCCGAGACGAGAATGGAGGAGAAGGGATTGCGGCATGACCATCCCCCCTGGGGGGTGATTTCTCGCTGTCTCTATGTCTCTCTCTGTCTGTCTGGCAAGTGCACACGCCCTATAGCGAAAACCTCTCAAAAAAAAAAAAAAAAAAAAAAAAAAAAAAACCCTCACCTTCAAAACCATACTCTGATTGGCCACTTCCCATAGCAAATTGGTAAGCTTAGAATCCCTCACATTTGCATATCTGGCACCTCATGATTGGTCCACAAAAGCAACCAATCATAACCCACCTTCTACAATCCTTTATTAGCATATAGGACAACCAATCACTGCCCACCAACATATATTTAACCACGATCCTTGGCCCACAATTGCCAGATGACCATGTAAGACCCTGAAGAATTGTGACACCGCGTCGTCTCCGGACGACCCTGAAGAGTTGTAACACTGCGTCCTTTATCCCGTCTGTCACTCCTTTCCTCAAGAAACCTGTTGGACTGTCCCCCGGGTCGGGACAATCACCCCCTGGGGGAATGGCCACGCCGCAATCCCTTCTCCTCCATTCTCTTCTCAGGATCTTGGGCACTCACGTACATGTGCCTGGCGTGAGTTTAAGCTGCCAGGTCTAGGACTCAAACCACAGTCAATTACACAGGAGTCCAGTGACATAACCATTACACCATCTGCTGGTACCAAATAATTATTATTTTTAAAAATTTATTTATTTTCCATCCATTCACTAAACATCATCATAGCATACAAAATGCTATTTCCCATCCAGAATACACTGTATAGTGCGTTAGTCATATGTTATCATGAACAAATACTTTTTCATTCTTTGTTTCTTAAATACATATATGTATACATACATACATATATACATAGATGCATATATACAAATACATACATATATTTTCCCCCCATTTCTCACCTTTGGCCATTTCCCACCCTCCTCCCACACTGTTTCTGGTATCTACAGTTGCTTTCCATTCCTTTCTTCCCCCCCACATTGTATTGATTCACAAAATATTTTAATTAAGCTAACTACTTTCGATAGCAATTCAGCTGATATATAGATGTCTGTGAACACAAGTCTGACTTTAGGCATGAAACTCTGTGAATAGAATGGATATTTTATAAAGTAGCACCTGGCTGAGGCTATATGGCTTACTGTGGTCATTAAATAGGTATTTTTTAATATATTTTTCATTTCAATAAAGGCAGTTTTAGCGTTAATAAATCAAAATAAAACAATGTTAAGAGTACTTTGCTTAAAGCCAGGAAACAGGTTAGGATTCTGTTCAAATAGTAGGTACATGAACCTCTTGGCAGTTCAAGAGAAGACAAAAGTCTCCAACCATTAAATTGGCCATTTTCATCTTTTTTTTTTTTTTTTTGAGAGAGATTTTCGCTATAGGGCGCGTGCGCTCGCCAGACAGACAGAGAGAGACATAGAGACAGAAAGCGAGAAATCACCCCCCAGGGGGGATGGTCACGCCGCAATCCCTTCTCCTCCATTCTCCTCTCGGGATCATGGGCACGCACGCGCACGCGCCCGGCGTGAGTTTTAAGCCACCGGGTCCGGGACGCGAACCACGGTCGACTACGTGGGAGTCCAGCGACATAGCCATTACGCTAACTGCTGGTTCCCAAATTGGCCATTTTCTTAATTGTTTTTGAACTCTTATTTCTGTGTGTCTATATTTAGTCTTCCTGATATAGCGCTCCCTTTAGAATTTCTTGGAGAGCTGGTCTGGTGCCGGTCAATTCTTTCAGGTTTTGTTTATCTGAGAATGTCCTTGTCTTTTCTTCCCATGTGAAGGATAATCTTGCCAGGTACAGTATTCTTGGTTGAAATTGTTTTTCACTCAACACTTTGAATATATTTCCCGATTCTTTTCTTGCTCGCATTGTTTCTCATGAAAGGGCCGCTGTTAGCCAGATGTAGGTAACTTGACGTTTTTCTCTTGCCCATTTTAGTATTTGTGGTGTTTGTCAATCTGGCTACAATGTGTCTTGGAGAAGATCTTCTTGAGTTGATTCTCTTTGGGGTCCTTTGTATTTCTTGGGTCTGGATCTTTGAGTGCCTCTCTAGGTTTGGGAAGTTTTCTTCCAAGAATTTTGTGTAGTAGACCCTTATTGGTCTCTTCACCATCTGAGATACCAATTATCCAGATGTTTGAATGTTTAATGGTATCTAGTATTTCTCATATATTATT